TTTTCAGGTTTCAGCTCCCCTTGATGTGCTCTTTCGAACACATTGCAAAAAAATATGCATATTAAAAACTTCAAAAGTGGCAAAAAAACATGACGTCATCACTGTGACGTTACAACTTTGACATTTACTGACATTTTTCACGTAAATATAATTGGCAATAGGTCTCCTGCTCAGCTGCCAAGTTTGGTGTAGAAAGAGTCAACGCTTTTTAAGAAATGCGAAATAATGTGAAATACCCAAGAACTGACGAAACATTTGGGGGGTGGTCTGGCCCCAACGTGGCTAGCTTAAAAAAGATCTCGGGCCTCGTTAACTGAAATGACGTTTGGAACATTTTGTATTTGTGCTATTTTCAAGAACGTTCTGTAATCAAAGAAATCTTAAAAATGCCTTCTCTGGACTCGTTAACTGAAATGACGTTCGAAACGTTTTTTTGAATTTCAATTTGAATTGTTTTTAAAACATATTTTATAACTCGAAAGAAATTTAAAAGATATTTTGTATTCAAAGGAATTAAAAAATCTCCTTCCCTGGACTCGTCAACTGAAATGACGTTTAAAAATGTAATTTACGATAATCAGTATTGACATAAATTAATAATTAGCCGACACGGATCAGAGAACTGGGTGCGAGCGTAGTACGCGAAAGCTCATGGCAATTGATACCTAGACAATTCATCCGTCAATGCGTCTCAGCTCGACAAATCGTCTCCTAATATAAATTCGTCGTCGAATAATTCGTCCCTAGCATATGATTGCAATTCGACGTGGTCTCGCCACAGATCGATTCAAAATTGACTGTTCATATTTACATCTAGTGGTACAAACTGTTTAACGCTTCTTGTGAAAATTATTAGATTTCAGTCAGCATTCGCCATTTTCATTCTATCAACTCTCGAAAGTCCATTAATATAGCAACAGGCATAAGCAATATTTTGACTCTTATTATCGATTTGAACAGAATTCAACAATCCATAGTTAACCTTTGGGAGGCTTTGATATCAAGTTCTTGATAAAGCGCCGGTTAAATAACTATGTTCTAAGCAAAGAGGTTCTGATTGCTATCCACCATTCGTGTAATTTAATTCCGTTTCTCAACTCTAATCCGGTAAGGAGCTGGAGAACGAGTAAAACCATCGACTCCTTTTAAATCCGGAAGGTTGCCTTCTTTCGACGGTAAAAATGTAAACTTGTGCAGCATCCAGGACAAGAAAAGGAACAGCTCCACCTATACAAGGAGGAATTAAGATATATGAACAGGCAAGAATATTTGACGTCATAGGACGTCATAACCATCCACGAAAGAACTGGGTACCATGTCAAAAATACAGGGATAACTTTGGGTATAGGGCCTATATGGGGGATTAATTCACTCTCTTACATTGATCTTCTCTTGATTATCACAAGCAACTGAAAACTTTTATTGTCAAACTTTTAAAGTTATTGTAAAAATACTGTAAAAACATAGGTAAATCTCAAAAAAATTGCGAAAAGCATCGCTTAACTTCATTGCCGTGCGCGAGTCCGCTGTATCAGCGAATTAAAAAAGCTGATTCTTCAGTAGAGCCAGCCTTTCTCAATTTGGGCTCAATTATTCCATAGGGAGTGTTCCACGGTGACTTACTCATAATCAGAATTTGTGTGCAGCTTAGGGACAGGGAGCCCTCACCTCTAACTACAGGAAAGATAAAAGTTGCAACGTCTCATTTGTTTCCTGGCTGCCATTAAAAATTTTGAATATTTTTTAACTGATGCGAGGTCTAAAGCGGAAAAATTACGGAGGGTGGTGGGGACGGTCGAAAGAATGCTGAAATTGGCGTATCAAGGGAACCGACGAATCCACTCTGGTCACGAATTCATCACCTCCTTTGATGCAACATAATCTGAGTGAGGGGTTGCACGTTAGCAATCTCAACCTAGTCAAATTATGTAAGAGTTCCGTAGTTTGGTACTAGCAATGAGCAATAAGCACTGTTCAAGCCCCTCGCTCCGCCTCCTAGTTCCATTATCAAGAATATGATTTTCCAGTCTCACCTTTGCCAGTGCTTCACCAGCACAAATCCGGCGTCCTGCTGAGAAAGGCAGAAAGTTACCAGAATTGGTGATGAGCTGGCCATCAGCATCAATATGGCGGCGAGGGTTGAACGAGTTGGGATTTTCCCAGCAGTTTGGATCCAGATGAACGTTCATCAAATTGACCAGCACTACTGTATCCTTCGGAACACGGTATCCTGCCAGCGAAGTGTCCTTCAAAGTGTAATGGGGAAGAGCTGCTTCAGCCACATTTCCAAGTCGTAGTGCTTCCATGATGGTGGCTTGAACGAGTGGTAGATGCGGACGATCATCCAGCCCCGGCATTCGGTCCCTTCCGACTACTTCATCTAACTGGTTCTGTATCTCTGTTTGC